ATCGATTGAAAGCATCCTTGATGCATAATTCATACATACAGGCATACATACATACTGCATTTATACATATATTTACATTTTCATAGCCTTATGCATCATCATTCTTCATGCAAAAGGAGAAGATAATGACATTATACTAGAGCTAGAATTTTATTTTGGCTTTTATTTTTGCACTTGAGTGAGTTTGTGATCAGCAATTTGTCTCCATGCACACATTAAAGCGCACGATTCTGCCACGTCTGAGGCGACAGCTGTGTCACGGGCAATAAAAAAGCGAGGAGGGGTTGAGCGAGAGAAACAGATAGGAGACGTGACAAATGCTTTTTCCTCAAAACATGAGAGCCAGTCCTGACAGACAGAATAATGGATTCAGGGATCCTTTGCAGCTTGAACGCATCTGTTTTCCAAGGCCCTGACAATCGACCACGACCATCTGAATCTTCAAAACTGTGAATTCATGATCTAATGTTGGACACAGAATAAGGGCTAGTGTGAGTCGCCTGTATATACCCTGGTTTCATTTTAGGAAACACCAATATGACAATTAAAGTACAAGTACATGTTGATTCTTGGCTTGTTTCTAGCCATATAGTTGCAGCTCTCAATAAGTAACAAGGCTTTTACATAACCTCCAAGTTCTTGGTCAACCATCTTCAACTTGACATAATATTATTGCCACTGTCACTGAATGTCCTTTGGTCAGTCCAGAGTTTAGCAGTGCATTTAACATTAGGGATAATTCTTACACCCCACTGTTTTAGTGTTATGAGGGGTGTTGATGGGGGATGGAAAGCACTGCGCCTTTCAATCCCAACAGTTCAGTGCAATGATGTCAAATACCAAATCTATCAGAATGATATAGTTTTATCATTTAAAAATATAATCAATGAGACCAATCTGAAAACATCAGAACCATACTGGCCAATATTAAAGAAATATTAATTTATTACTAAATTCATATTAATATAAGAGATATTAGTTTATTTGTGTTGGTCAACACTATATATATATATATATATATATATACACACACACACACACACACTAGTGTTCAAAAGTTTGGGGTTGGTGGGATTTTTAATGTTTTTGAAAGTCTCTTATGCTTATCAAAGCTGTATTTATTTGATCAAAAATATAGGAAAACAGTAAAATTGTGAAATATTATAACAATATAAAATTACTGTTTTTTTTATTTGCATATATTATAAAATGTAATTTGTTCCTGTGATGGCAAAGCTGAATTTTCAGCATTTCCTTGAAAAATCATTCTAATATGCTGATTTGCTGCTTAAGAGCCATTTCTTATTATCAGTGTTTCTTACTTTCTTAATTTTTTTGTGGAAACCATGATAAAAAAAGCAACTTTCTGACCCCAAGCTAAAAATGTAATTTATTTAGACAAAACAGTACAGAATTTTATTATTAAAAAAATGATGTACACAATCAAATCTGAGGCGATTTCGCAGGTTCTGAGGGTATTACAATAAAACGTTTAAATTGTCCATGTTTTCTATGTTTCTGTTTTCAGTGTTAAAAACCAATCATGGTGTTGTAGGTCATAACTGCACTCTTTGTACTTGACATTAATGTACGCAATTTAGGGATAAATTATAGATTTCATTAATTTCTAGAAGATAAATATGAAAACATTATATAAAGGGCTGACACACAGCACAAACACTGAGTTTCAGACTTTGAAGCATAATGTGTGACAACACCCCCCGATTCCCCCACATAAACACACTTTGCACCAAATGTTCTCTGCAGTTCATCATCTAACACATCCTGCTTTCTCTTTCCCTCTCTAACCCACTCAAATACATCTATCAATACACGCTTTACAGCTCGCGCCATTGATAATCTCATGTTCCTGTCTCAGCAGGACTTCAACGGGATATTGAATGTCTGTTTCCACACCAGACGGTTAATAGTGCAGAGGTTAATGAAAGAGCAGTATTAATTTGCCTTCAGGTGGGGGAGGTTTTTAACTCAACCTAACCTACTTTAAGAAGCCCACTGAGAGAGTGTACAAATAAACCAGATCTGTGTTTCAACTCCCATGGAGGGAAAGACTCTGCAAAATTATACCTTCAGGCAAAACACTTGTCAGATTAGGCACAAAGCCATCGATTAAATTAGTGAGGTCAGATACGGGGCAAAAAACGATTCATTCATGTGCGTGCATGGCAAACAGAGTGTGAATATGTTTGCATTGCATATATAGAAGATCTTACTCATTGACTCACATATTGCCTTTTGGGAACCGAACTCAGGAAGTCAATTAACTCAACCCCTGGGATTTGATAAATAGGTAAAAGATTTTAGAGGAACGGAGGGTGAGACGAGGATAACAGCTTTTTCTTGCTCAATCCATTCTGCTGTCTTATTGCCTTATTCCACTCACCCCATCCGTCATGAACATATTAAACATTCCTACAGCATCCACAGGCCTTGATTAAGAATCCTCCCGAACTCCATGACTCCTGACCATGAATATTGAACATTATATCAATGCAATGAATCACTGAAATGTTTATATCATGAGCCCAAGTTTCTTTTGCGATGGTAAATGCGTATCCTCGTATCTGTAAGCAGTCGTTTAGATGATAAATAGTTAATTAGAGATCCTTTTTAATTGAAAGCATTTCAGAAGCATTAACCGTACTGATTTGATTAGTGATGCCCTGGCGTCATTCTAAAATTGCGGTACAAATATATATACGTCTTCCTTGAAATTAAAAGGCACTCAAATGAAAGCCATGATAAAGAGAATAATAATATACTCTTCCATTCATCAGTGCTTCCTTGTATGGCGTAATTTATTCTCCCACAGGATCAGGTAGATGTATTTGCATAGCACAGAGCTAAAGCTCAGAGGCATAATTAACTGTGACAATGGATATAAAACAACACGCAACTGAGTTTGTGCTAAACTAAGCATGAAACAGAGTGAGAAATCAAAGGATAATTGATATCACTGAAAGTGTTTGTTGGTTAGTTGAGGACAAAATGCTTATATTTATATTTTAGTCGTCACCTGATGGTTTACTGCCACTACAAACTGTTTTTGCTGAATAAGGGACAAATTCAATAGTGTAATGATTGATGATGCTGTTCAGGTACAAAGACAAATTGTAATATATAATATTACTAAAGTAACTTTTCTATCTGAATATATTTTAAAATGTAATTCATTAGTGTGATGGAAAGCTGAATTTTCAGCATCATTACACTCCAGTCTTCAGTGTCACGTTCCTTCAGAAATCATTCTAAAAGTGATTTGGTGCTCAAAAACATTTTTTTATTATCAGTGTTGTTCTGCTTAATATTTTTTGTGGAAACTGATATGTTATCATGGTTCTTTGATAGAACGTTCAAAAGAATTGTTTTTGAAAACTTTTTTTTTGTGACATTTAATGTGTCCTTGCTGAATAAAAGTTTTTTTTTTTTTTTCTGACCCCAAACCTTTGAACAGTGTATTTTATTCAGTGACAAACTTTTGTGGATGTATAATTATCTTGTTTGGAATACACATGAATGAATTCGTAGAGGCTTGTAATATATGACTGGCATAGATATCTGGCAAAGATACGACTAACACACACACACCCACAACAGTTTGTGGTTGTCTGAGAATGTGCTGGTGCTCTGTGATAAGGGGAAACCCCTACACACTTCCAGCCAATTCTTATGACAGCTGCAAGGTTGTTGCTGACTGACAGCTCACTAGACCAGTCAGGTTACAGATATGTGAAGATCTAGGTAGCTGAAAATAGATATTGGCAACTGATTTCAGCTCAGCTGTTTCACATCTAAAGCGGAATGTTTTATTGCCAAATACCCACACACAGGCACATTCTTTGAGAAAAAAAAAAAAAGTTTATTTCTCAGTACAAAGACATACATATTCTGACATGCAAACAAACGGTAATGCTTCCAAATTATTTAACAATTTTCTGTACACTTTCAAGTACCACATTTTGCCAGCAACTAAAACAAAGAGGTAATTTAATACATCCCACTGGAGGTGCAGCTGTGTACAACATGTATAAAGCATGTGCACAGCATTTATAAAAGCTCTTATAGTGACAGTTCACCCAATAGTGACAATTCTATCATCATGTACTCACCCTCATGCGTTTCTAAACCTGTATGTCTTTTTCTTCTGCAGAATATACAAATAACATGTTTTTTTCTATACAATATAAGTCAATGGGATCCAATGTTGTTGTGGATTCCATTCATTTTCATTGGATGGACAAAAATGGTTTAAACATTTTTCAGAATATCTTCTTTTACGTTCTACAGAAGATCATACAGGTTAGGAATGACATGAGGGTGAGTAAATGGTGACAATATTAATTTTGGTTGAACTATCATGTTAAAACCCCCAATAAACACTTTATCTGCATAGTAAGTCTAGACAATTTTCCTAAATAAGTTTCGCCAAGTCCTGAAATAATGCTTTAAGATTTACCAGTAAGAGATCTTGAAAGAGGCAAAATTATTTGAGCATGTTATGTAAACGATGTGTAAAAAGTAGAAAAAGAGGTTCTGAAAATTTGAGAAGACTGGTATTTTTAGACAAGAAGTTTAGACTGATCTGTTGTCTGAGGTAGACAGCTGGTTAGAACCCGCTGCCTGTTGTGTGCGAGCACCTGATATTGGGCAGATAATTGACCTCTGACCCCTGAACTAGACCTCCCTGGCCAGTCTAGAGCCTTAAAAAGCCGTTTCCATGGCTTCAGCTGTTGTGAATACAGCACGAGCAGCATTTTCACATACAGTCTGTCATCAGCTAGGAGGACACACATGTACATCTCTGTCTGAGACTTCTTACTTCTCGCCTGCTAACACTCGGCTACGCTTTGGTTAAATATTATTATCCACAGCACATTTATATGCACAAAATTTACAGAGTAGTGCTTCGGTGACTTGGGATATGGAAGTAGAACTACAGTCAACCGTGGACTCTAAACTGCCCATGCTTGAGTGGCCCATTTCTCTTTTTACCCCCTCTCTCTCTCAATCCCCCTTCCTCCACATGCACCTCCTCAGCCTGTCAGAGTGCATCATGGGAATACTTCAGCCTGCCAGCAGATTGTCCAAGGCTGCCAACGGCACGGATGAATAACTTCTATTCATCATTATCTGAGAGAGAGGGACAGAAGGGAAAGAAACACAGGAACTGTTATAGGATAATCAACTCACTTACGAGACCGAGATCTGAAGAAAACTTCCAGGCTATATTCCTGATGTCAGAGGTCACATTAAAGTCCATAATCAGGAGTTAGCCTTGAACACACAGTGTAAATGCCAGAAATACCCTCACATCAATCAGAAGCTGCTACACACACAAGCAGACACGTGTATACCCTTTAAACCAAATGATGTGACCTGACCCAAATGCCCTGGAACTGCTCAAGAGATTGTGCCGCATACATCTGCTGCAAGAGCAGGCACTGCTTATTTGAACACTTCATCTATTTCACTCTTACCAAGTCTGTTTGGACTAGTGAATGAACTGCACACATTAAGAGCTGAACTCTGCTTTGATTTTACATTGTTGTGTCATGTTTTTGACATGTGTGTTGTGTTCTTCTTCTTCTTATCATCATATTTATTATAATTGCTTATAATAATAAAGATCATGATAATGATAATAATAATAAATTTAATGATATATAAAGACAATTTATATTATGGAAATACAATATAATTATAAATTATTATGATATTTACAGTTTTTTTGTTATTGTCTTGTATTGGTAAGTCTAGGGACTAAAACCAGTGGATGAATAACTGGGGAAGACATAACTTACGTGTATATAGTGTTTTATTATTATTATTATTATAATTACTAATAAAAATAATGTTAAGCTAGTGATAATAATTTAATAAAAAATAATACATTATATATAATTCTACTGTACACTCATTTTGTTTGTTATTATTTTTACAATGTAAACTTTATTATTTATTGTTTACAGGTAGGGATGTTCATTTTAACCGTTTAACCGGTTAACCGACCGAAAGAATTTTGATCGATTACTACAATCAGTTAAACGGTTTAAAAAGTAATTTATTTATTTTTTCAGTAATTTATCAAAATATTTAAAAAGGTTTGCTGCATGGTTAAAATACGCTACACGTATAAAAAAAATTGTTTTTTAGGGGGAAAAAACATAAGTCGCCTATAAGTCGCATTTTATTATTTCATTCAGAAATAGGCCTAATGCCGACGCGAAATGTTTACAAACATTATAATAAACACTGTAAACATAGCTAGGCTATTTTAGTTCCCCTCACTCCACAACAAATCCTTTCAATTAACAGTATTTAGAAAAGAACAAGAATTAAAAATATAAGAAGCTATAGCAATATAAACAAGCCAAAACGAATTCATTTAGGCTAAAACGAAACTGAAACCAACGTTGGGTCTCTCATTCCACACAAAATCAAATGTTTCCGTATTCGAGATGTATTTGAATGCCAAAATATTATTTATTATGTAGCCTACTTCACTCATGTTCCAATATTCACATAAAACAAAATGTTTTGCATAACATCACGTCGGTGCGGTGATAACACTTAACGGCATAGATTTTACTACATAGTTTTTTTCCCATATGTTTGACTGACTGTATTTTATTATGATAATGAACTGGCTGCATTGTCAAGGTAGCAATGCTTGTGCATGTGTGTGCATGCGGTGCCGGCGCAATCACTTGAATTTTTTCCTTCTAACATATCATATCAACTACTCCTTTTAGTCATAAAGATAATCGGAATTGTAAAAGGTTTGCCTTTATTTGTGTACATTCACAATAAAAACAAATCTTTGTGCTTTTGTAAAATAAGCCTAAAGAAAAATAGGATG